GCTCTTCCAGGGGCATAAGAACATAATAACATAAGAGACGCCAATGTTGGATCAGGCCAAAGGCCCATCCAGTCCAACATTCTGTGTCACACAGTGGCCAGAAATACCAGGGGCCATCAGGAGGTCCACCCGTGGGGCCAGGACATCAGAAGCCCTCCCAATGTTGACCCCCCCACCAAGCACCAAGAAGACAGAGCATCACTTGCCCCAGAGTTCCTAATCTATACCTTGTGGCTAATAGCCACTGATGGACCTCTGCTCCATATGCTTATCTCATTCCCTTTTGAAGCCGTCCATGCTTGTAGCCGCCACCACCTCCTGTGGCAGTGAATTCCAAGTGTTAATCACTCTTGGGTGAAGAAGGACTTCCTCTTATCCGTTCTAACGGGAGAGACGGTCCCGAAGTTATGTAGATCCCCGACCGCTAAGGGCCTTGAAGTTCAGAAGCAGAACCTCGAACCTGATCCGGTGCTCCATAGGAAGCAGACATCGGCCGCCAACCAACAGGAGAGGGAGGGGACGAGTTTGGGGGGGTTACGTGATGTCACTTCCGGCAAGTACGTGGAAGCATTATCATGTAGCCAGGATGACACTGACATGACGTTCTGGATCACTGTAGCCAGGTCATCGCGGTCGAGGAAGGGAGATCTGATAAGATTGGGCTAGCCGGGCTAGGCAGGTCAGCGTGGGCTCCGTACCGATTCTCACATTGGTTCAGTGGCCCCAGGTGGAAATCTTGCATCCTTCAGCTCATCCAAGAAGCATTGATGTATTTCCCTCGTCAAGTGCCCTCTGACATTTCCAAGGCTTGCCTGATGCACGGTGCTCTCCAACGGCCATAACCACTTGGCCTCAGCACACACACACACACCCCCGCAAACGTCTCAGCAAATCTGAAGGCCCCTCGCCAAGACGCTGGAAGCCATCTGCGCTGTATTATGGAATTCTGTTTACAGCTGGCAGGATTAGGTTAATCCCACCAGATTCCTCAAAGAACATCCACAACAGCCTGCGTGCGGATAGTTCAGTCGTTTTCGTGGCAGTCGATTCTGCAAATTATAAAATGGCGTAAAGGGGGTGGGGGGGACGTGTGGCTCAGCAGTTTCCCAGGATCTGCGATGGACAGTGAAGAAAATAGGCATTGGTTCTGAACGAAGCCGTGTGCCATTCCCGTGTGCCAGCTCTCTCCCTTGGAAAAGGGCCTTCTTCTTGTACCTTCCCCGAGGCTAGCATGTTATGTGTCAGCTCAAGCAAGAGAGATTGTCGGAATAGAGGCCCAATGCTTTGGAACAGCCTATCTGGTGAGCTGAGCATCGGCTGTTTCTTGTAGAACATGGGAGACTGCTTCCCTTCAGGAAACCTCCTCGGGAGGCTGGCGGAAGACTAAGTTGGTGGGAAGAGGGCTCTGCTTCGATCACACACTGCTCCGTTTAAGCCAATAATGGAGCCTTTCATTCTTACAACATCGCTACTCTGGGAAGAAAGTCACTGTTAGAAATGAGGAGGGGGAGGAGGAGGAGGAGGAGGAGGAGGGGGAGGAGGAGCGGACACAGTCTTTTTCCTTGGGGAATCAAACCCGGTTCTCCCAGATTAGAGTCTGTGCCCTTAACCACTACACCAATCTGGCTTTCTTGACTAAGCCAGGAGGAGAAGATTGGATTTATACCCCGCCCTTCACTCAGAGTCTCAGAGCAGTTTCCAATCTCCTTTCCCCTCCTCTCCCCACAGCAGACACCCTGTGAGTTAGGTGGGGCTGAGAGAGCTCTTTCAGGGACTGCTCTTGAGAAAACAGCTGAGAGAACTTGTGCCTGGCCCAAGGTCACACCAGCAGCTGCATGTGGAGGAGTGGGGGATCAAACCCAGTTCTCCCAGATTAGAGTTCGCCCTCCTAACCACTGCACCAAACTGGCTCTCCAGAGACAGAGAGGTCAGATATTGCCAGAAAGGCACAGGCTGAGAGACCAACCTGATGTTGACTAAATCAAAAATCCCTGAGCTGGATAGCCTAGTCTGGTATAATCATGTCTGATCTTGGAAGCGACATGACGTGTATTTACTGCAGTGTTTATTCCATGCTGATATAAAATTACTGTGACCATTTGGAGCATTCTTTGAAGTATTCTTGACAGTTTATACCCAGCCTTTGTTTTCTTTGTCATTGCCAACTGGGTCTCTCCGTTTTTGGTTTCAATCTCGGAAGCCAAGAAGTGTCAGCCTTGGCCATATGGGAGACCTCCCAGGAAGCCCAGGGTTGCTGTGCAGAGGAAGGCAATGGAAAACCACATTGGAATGTCTCTTGGTTTGAAAAACCCACCGAGGTCACCATAAGTCAGATGTGACTTGTCAGCGAGAAAAGAAAAAGAAGTCACAACTGACTCATGGCGACCCCCAGCAAGGGGCTTCCAAGGCAAGGGAGAAGCAGAGGTGGTTGGCCATGGCCTTCCTCTGCAGAGTCTTCCTTGGTGGTCTCCCATCCAAGACTTATGGCAACTCCAGCAAGGGGCTTCCAAGGCAAGTGAGAAGCAGAGGTGGTTGGCCATTGCCTTCCTCTGCAGAGTCTTCTTTGGTGGTCTCCCATCCAAGACTTATGGCAACTCCAGCAAGGGGCTTCCAAGGCAAGGGAGAAGCAGAGGTGGTTGGCCATTGCCTTCCTCTGCAGAGCCTTCCTTGGTGGTCTCCCATCCAAGTACTGACTTAATGGCAATCTCAGTGAGAGGCTTCCAAGGCAAGTGAGAAGCAGAGGTGGTTTGCAGTTGCTTTCCTCTGCATGGTCTTCCTTGGCGGTCTCCTTTAAAAGGGTGTTAGATTAATGGAGGAGATGTCTATCGGTGTCTACTAGCCTTGGTGACTAAAGGGAACGTCCATGTTCAGAGGCAGTTAGCCTCTGAATTCTAGCGCCAGGAGGCAATATCAGGAAAAGACACCGGCCTCTCTGCCCCGTTGCTGGATCTCCAAAGGAACTGGATGGCCACTGTGTGAGACAGCATGCTGGTCTGTATGCTCCACTGGTCTGATCTGTCAGGTCTCATCTGATGTCCTTATGTCCGTATCAAACGTTGTCTTTTTAGGGTAAAAAAAAAAGTAGGAAAAAATAAGGGACGGAGAAGCCTATGTGGAACTGTCCAATCTTTCCGTGCCTTCTGGCAAATTGCTGGATCCCTTCATTCCGTACCATGTAATTACCTTCGATTATCTCAATTTGCAGATAGCATTGAAGCCAACCTCGAGACGGCTGCGTCTAATGTGGAATCTGCCAACGAGCAATTGGCGAAGGCCAGCCACTACCAAGTAAGTTAATCTTTTAAAGATAACATTTCCCTCCCCGCAAGGAGCCGGTCGAATAATCACCCCATTGGAAACAAAACCCAAACAATTTGGACCTGGCAACTAACCAGCCGTTCTTTCTGTAGGGCAATCTGGAAGCAACGTGCAGCGTCTTTCTAAACTGAGAGTTTAACCTATTTTTCCCCCCTCCTCTGTGATTTAAACGACTTTCGTGTTGGCAGCTTCTGTTAAAAGTCATCATTCGGAGATCTGCATATTAAACAGACTCTTTTCCCCCTCTAGAAAAGGAAGCAATTAGCTAGCGTTGTTCTTTGGGAAAAACGGCATTAAAACACATTATTTCCGCGTGTATGTTCTTTTTCGTCGGGACAGCCTAAGTAGGCAACGGATTGCAGAGATCGGCGCTGCCAGCCAGCGAGATCCTCTTGGGAAAGAGGATTTAAGCGGCCGTCTTTGTGAGCAAATGCCCAGGTTGCGAGGAGGAAGGAAGCACGTGCGAGCCACGAGACACGTTTGACAAATAACTGGGCCACGGAAGCGAGTGGGGTCTCTAGAGTTGCCGTGGGACTTTAGGACAAGCGAAACGTATTCCACAGGGAAGCTAAAAACAGCAAAAAAAGGGGGGACTCTGTTCTTATTCTATTATTTATTTATTTCATGAGGTTTTTACCCCGCCCTCCCAGCAAAGCCGGCTCAGGGCGGCTTACAAAAATATAAAACGAGACAATAAATAATAAAGCCCGGTCAATACAGCAGTGAAACCATAAATATCAGGGGTCATTTCGTAGAAAAAGAGGTGCAGGAGCTCATTAGCATAACTTATTTGCATTTATTTATTTATTTATTATTCACATTTCTATCCCGCCCTTCCCGGAGGCTCAGGGCGGCTAACAGGGTGTATCGCCGAATAAAACAGTAAAACAGTACAAAATATTAAAAATACATCACCATTAAAACAATTTTGGTGCTCCTCTCAGCTAATTTCCAATTTCCAAATTACAATTTCTGAAAGCAAGATGCCCGCCCCCTAAACGTCCCGTTCTCACCCATAATGCAGTAATTATGCGGCGTTGATGGTACGTGCCCCCATCCTGATGTCCATATATGGGGCGTAGATGGTAAGCTAGTGCATTGGTGGTACACTAGTGGTGGCGGCTCCTATTCAAAAGCCTGGCGGAAGAGCTCCGTCTTGCAGGCCCTGCGGAATTGTGCTAGGTCCCGCAGAGCCCTGATCTCCTCTGGGAGCTCATTCCACCAGATAGGAGCCGCCACTGAGAACGCCCTATTCCTGGTCATGGTAAGTCTGATAGACCGGGGACCTGGAACATCCAGTAGATGTTGGGTCCCCGACCGTAGTGCCCTTGGGGGAACATGTGGGGCAAGGCGGTCCCTTAGGTAGGCTGGTCCCTGACCATATATAACTCATTTGCATATGCCACACCCCCTGACATCACCGGAAGTGTGTCAGAATGCAACACCCACCACTCAGGCTCCTCCACTGGACTGTTTTGGATTGCTAGCTATGGGGGGGGGAGTGCAGATCTGCCCTCACAGAGGAGGGAGAGCTTGTACCTGAAGGTGGGCTGGAGGGGGGGCCTCTTGCAACTTACCTGGCTGCTTCTTGCTCCTTGTGGCCCGACTGAGGGGTGCTGGGAGCAGGGGGTGGGGCTTCTTGCATGTGCCTGCCCCCTGGGCTCCTTACTGCTGGAGCTCTGATCCTGTGCGCTCCCACAGGAAATGACCCCTGATAAATATACAACTAATAAAGTGCTAGCATTAATTCCTCAAAGCACAGTCAGCACCAAGGCTGCAGGAGGGTGGACAAGAGGGACACGAAAACTCTTATATATATAAGGAGAGATATAATTGTTGGCTTTTTTAAATTATTTACATCATGCCTTTGCGAGCCATGACGGCAAATGACGGCCCTACGCTTTCTCGGGCCTGATTCGGGAGGTGATGGGGATTCTAATGCACAGTAATGTGGGGCGCTTTTGCACATGCTAAATAATGCAGTTTCAGTCCACTTCAACGACCGTTTGCAAGAGGATTCCCTCCCCCCCCATTTCACACAATAAAATCCAGTTGCAAAGTGCCTTGGAAGCGGATTGAAAGTGTGCCATTTAGTGTGTGCGAAAGCAAACACAGGGCCAGCCAGTTAGATTTTTCCTGGCACATTTTTAACGAGATAGGCAACCTGTGACACCGCTTTGCGCGAGCGGGCGCGGGATGCAATGAAACCGTATTGCTTTAATTTCCATTCTCAAGTAGCTACGAGCAGGTGGGCCCCATAAAACCTTGTGCTCTTTGTTTCTCCGGCTGGCTGCTCCAACTAAGCACAAAAGCCGGTGTGTGATTGCAGGCACCCGGAACATTGTTGGTTTTTGCAAGGCAGCTTTGGTGCACACCTGCGGCGGTCGTGTTTACCTGAATGCAGCCCGTTTTCTCAAACAGCTGCTTCCCTTGGACGTGCTGCCAGCCCGTTCAGCAGCAGCCCCCGGTTGATAAATGAAGGAAACTAACAGGGCAGCTTAACCTTTGCATGTTTTGAACTGTGATGTTTATTCAAGCCCCCCCCTCCAATCCCCCTCCCTCCTTCCCTAAATAATGGATCTCTGATCAAATATTTAGGGGGTCAGGCTTCTTTGGGAGCTTTCGGATGTCAAACACTCGAATGCTTCCACGCGTCAAGGTGCAATCGTGCAAAGAAGCGGCAGCCACATCTGGACAGCTGTGCATTCTATTTTGATTACCGGGAGCAGGTGTGAAGGTGCACTTTGCATTTAATCGTTTTCAATTCAGGGAAACGGGCTGGGGAGGGGAATAAGGTGTGCTTTCAAAAGAAAAGACGTTGACCTTCCGGCGCCAGATGCTCTCTCGGCTGAGGTTACCAACCCAGTCCTGGCGACTCAGAGGAGACTTAGGGTGGGGTACACACCTGGCAGAACAGCACCGTGCCATGCCAATAGGTCCTTTCCAGCTGTGTTACCGGGAGTGACATCGCCACATTGCACAGTGCTGTACGACTTCCATGAGACTCTATGTTAAACACCGCAGAGAGGGTGTCCAGTTTCGGGCACTACGTTTTAGGAAGAATGTTTACCCCTTCTCTCTCATTTTAAACCCTTGGCTAATTATCTTACATATGCCGAGGGATGCTTGATGAAGTTCTTATTGGCTGATACTTATGAGCCTGCCTCACGCAGTGTTGCTAAATATTGTTAACTGGTATCGTATTTTCCGGCGTATAAGACGACTGGGCGTATAAGACGACCCCCAACTTTTCCAGTTAAAATATAGAGTTTGGGATATACTTGCCCAGAGACTGTATTTCCCGGCGTATAAGACGACCCCCCTATTTCTGAGAAGATTTCCTTGGGTTAAAAAGTAGTCTTATACACCAGAAAATACAGTAATTAAAAAGCACAGAATGTGCTGTAACTCGAGCCATTAATGACGGAATTGACTGGTTTGGTATTTTAGTACTTAAGGCTGCAAGGATTCTATGTTGTAGATTCGGTGTTGTACTATTTTGGTTTATTTTGCTGGTCTTATGACTGTTTTTAATAAACTTGAACTTGTTTAAGGAAGAATGTTGACAAGCTCGAGCGTTTCCAGAAGAGGGCAACCAGGATGGTGAGAGGGTTAGAATCCAAGTCTTACGAGGAAAGGCTGAAAGAGTTGGGTATGTTTATCCTGGGAAAGAGAAGGTTTAGAGGGGACATGATTGCAGTCTTCAAGTATTTGAAGGGCTGTCATGTAGAAGATGGAGCAGATGTATTCTCTCTTGCTCCGGATTGCAAGACTAGATCTAATGGATGGAAATTACAAGGGAGTCGATACTGGCTAAATATCAGGAGAAACTTCCTAACTGTAAGAGTGGTTGAGCAGTGGAACAGACTGCCTTGGGAGGTGGTGGATGCTCCTTCGCTGGATGTTTTCAAGCGGAGGCTGGGAAATCATCTTTCGGGTATGCTGTAGGGCTCTTTCGGCTATGCTCCTGCAGAGGCCAGGGGGTTGGACTAGATGACCTGCAAGGTCCCTTCCAACTCTAACATTCTATGATTCTATGAAATTCAGATAACACCCTGTTGGTGTCATTTCTGGGGTCCCAGCTGGAAGTTTTGTTGAAGCTTTTTGTACTACTGTCTCCCCATATATCACGGGTTGGAGGTAGAAATGAACCAAACCAATAGAAGAGATCACGGGTTGGAGGTAGAAATGAATAAAACAACCGTGATATATTTTGCCAAAAGAAATATCCACAGACTTATAAATTAGTATCCAATATTCAGTTTACTGGAGGTGATCAATTCCTCGGGAATCATTCATAATGACACCATCAACACAACGGACTATGCATATCAAATCTCGTTTCGTTCACAACTTTGTCAATTGATGAATGGTTCTAAAAGATCTGGCGATAGTGCTTGATGAACGGATTTATATTGAAATCTCAACGCTACATACTCTGACAAAGTTGTGAATGAAACGAGATTTGATATGCACAGTCCGTTGTGTGTTGATGGCGTCATTATGAATGATTCCTGAGGAACTGATTAGCTCCAGTAACTGAATAGGTAAAGGTAAAAAAGGTAAAGGTTCCTTTGCTCGAAAGCCAGTCGAATCCGACTCTAGGGTTGCAGTGCTCATCTCCGTTTCCAAGCCGAAGAGCCAGCGCTGACCGAAGACGTTTCCGTGGTCATGTGGCCGGCATGACTAAACACCAAGGCGCACGGAACACTGTTACCTTCCCACCAAAGCGTTACCTATTTATCTACTTGCAATGTCTTGCTTTCGAACTGCTAGGTTGGCAGGAGCTGGGACTGAGACGGGAGCTCGCTCCGTCATGTGGCACTCTTTTGGCATAATATATCACGGTTGATTTGGTCATTTCAATCTCCAGATGGTGACTGGTGATCTTCTGGGATTACAAGTGATCTCCAGGTGACGGAGATTAGTTCCCCGGGAGAAAATCGTTGCTTTGGAAGGGGGACTCTGTG